AGTGTCTCTCTCTCACCTCTTCTCTGTCTCATTCTCTAGGTCTCTCTCTCCTTCCTCCTCAGATCAAGTCAAATCAAATCAAATCAAATTAAATCAAATCAACAAAGCTTCACTGGCCTAATTATCAACAATAGGATATTACTGCAAAGCATTCGAATGGTTGCCATTAGTAATAGTAGCACAGAAATCTGATTTATTTTTTATTTTATAGTTCATATTCATAACAGAGGCCTGGGGAGTGTTGACAGAGGCAGTTAAATATAAATATGCAGGCAATAAAATTGGACCAAGACTTCCATACTCAATTCCATTCTCATAAGATTATATGGACAATTTCTATACCATATGGGTTTATGTGATGTCAGTTTAAGTGTAGGCTAGTACTTTTGGAACAGGAGAAAACTGAGCCACTTGAATTTGTATCAGATCTTTCAAATCGAATCCATTTCAGTGAATTCATTGGCATATTTGTATAAATTGCATTCTTTGCTACTAAAGCAATTTAGAGACATGAACGAAAACCAAAACAGAGCAAAACAATATTCGGACCATTGGGAAAATTAAAGTACATATTGAAGTGAACTGAAATATAGTCATAATGTATGAGAGAGAGAGAGAGAGAGAGAGAGAGAGAGAGAGAGAGATCCGCACCAAATACAGGCTCAGTGATCACACTCAAGCAAAAGAAAAAGGCAAAGACAAAAATGGTTTGTAAAAGAACAGAGTATGTGCTCCCTTTCTCCTTTGTTGCTATGAATTTCAGAATGCAAGAGAGAAGTACTTTGAGAGTCTTTCAAACCTCATTTCACATTTTCCAAAACTGTCAGAAAAAGATCAAATGCAGGTGTTCCAGTCATGCATCAGCATATTTGAGCTTGCCGCCCTCAGAAACCAGCCACTGTTTCACCATAGCCAAGGGTTCATGTGTAAATATTCATTAATGCTTTTAAAGGGGTCATATGATGCGATTTCAATTTTTCCTTTCTCTTTGGAGTGTTACAAGCTCTTGGTGCATAAAGCAGATCTGTAAAGTTGCAAAGACTAAAGTCTCAAATCCAAAGAGATATTCTTTATAAAAGTTAAGAGTCAACGACGCCTACCTAAAACGGCTCGTTCTAAAATAATGTTATTTTTAGCAACATCATGACCCCTTTAATGAATGTTTATTTCATTGTTGTACACAGTTCGTTGAACTGTTATTCCAGCAGGAGGATTCAAAGGCTGTCACACAACTGGTTTGGCTGGCTGTCCAATCTCAGAGATCCACTGTTTCTTTATTTCATATTATCTTTCTTTCTTTTTTTGTATTCCACCTAGTAAAGTTTAAGTCCCCTGTTTTGACGTGCTTTCTCACAACATGTCCCAAAATAGTTGTGTAGTAGGCAATCCTTTCAAGCTATTCGAAGACGAACGTTGAACCTGTGAAACCAATGTGAACACATAAATTTCAACTTCCTCCAAATGTGGTTGAAAGTGGGCAACCTTAAAACATTTTTAGACTCAGTTGACGCCTGATTTTAATGTTCTCCATGGGATCTGATGCAGCAAAATGTTTCTTAATATTAGGTGTAAACAGAGCCCTAAGCTATATAGGTAAGTTAATAGGTACAGTATATAGGTTTCAACATGGTTTTTAAATGTTTCTGACAAATGTAGGTTAACCAACAAAAGGCTAAAAAAACCAACATAGGTTCATTGGGAAAACCATGTCTCTACCTCTACATTTTTGCTCCAAAAACATAATTATGATACAATTCACTGCAGTTTCTAGCTGAAATGAACATTAGAGGTAGTAAAACAACAATTTTAATTCCTTTTTACAGAAATTATGATTATAGGGGCAGATTATAGACTAATAAAGGGTTCTTTTTGAACGGTTACTTGCACAAAATGTAATTATTCCAATACCATAGTGCATGATTTGTTAATAAATGCATATGATGTTTGCATCACACAACCAGTTCCATATGTAAAACTTTTCTGACATAGTAAACTTCTCGATTGCTCACCTGGTGCAGCCTAGCACTTGTGACACAGAGTGCTCGGGTACAAGTCCCATAAAACACTAGTCATGATAAAAGAGCTGAAAGACTTGTAGAAACAAGCTAAAATAACACGGTTGCATCAGCAAACCTGCATGTTATACACTATCTGTTAGGTTTGGGCTATAGCGTTTAGTGACGTTGTAGGCTACATTATTTTCAAACACAACAGAGCATTGACCTTTTATGGTAAATCACCAGATATTCCAAATTGCCCCTACACTCTTAAAAATAAAGGTGCTTCACAATGCCATAGAAGAACCTTTTTCTCTAAATGGTTCCATAAAGAACCTTTAACATCTGAAGAACTGTTTCTGTTTCAACAAAAGTTTCTTTGTGGCGAAAGAAGGTTCTTCAGATTATAAAAAGGTAAGAAAGAGATGGTTCTTTAAAGAACCTTTGACTGAATGTTTTTTTGTGGAACCAAAAATGGTTTTTCTGTGGCATCGCTGTGAAGAACCTTTTAAGCACCTTTATTTTTAAAAGTGCATATGCAACAACCAATGATTACTACTCACTGGACATTTCAATTTGAAAGTATTGCAACATGTTCAAGAAACAGCGTAATATTTTTTTTTTTTCAATGATGGTTGTAAGAAACTAAAGTTAGGTCTTGCTTGCTTTCCTTGTGTTCGTCTTTGTGATGCATATATCTTAGAAAATGGCTTCTTAAATGAGAAAATAAATGTAAGGTGGGACTTGATTTTGTCCATTGGGAATTGATTGGATCATTGTTGTTTGCTAATTGCTGCAATCTCATATGAGTGACAGGTTGCTTGAGGGAAGGAATTATTGTCCCACACTCACACCAGTGCATGCCTTATAAGAGACGACATTTTGTTTTGAGGGGGAAGATAAGTTAATGTTTTTGATTAGAGATGGTCTTGGGCACAAGAATTAATATAATAATAATAATAATAATAATAATACTACGAATACATAATTTATAATAAAAATATGAAAAATACATTTTGATTTCATGGTGACTTTAAAACATGATAGTTAATACTATTAACTATTTAAATGTATGGTGGCCTAGAGAGCTCAGTGCACTGCAACTTAAAAACATGCAAAAAGAAAAAACATCAGCAAATTTAGAAAACATCTTCATCAGTTTCACAACACGTGCTGCAAAACTCACAATGCAACCAAATACAGAAACACACTGCAAAGACTCAAAACGCAACCAAAAGAAAAGCATTGCATGTTGCACAAACCACAAGGGAATTTTTCAAGGGGGCCCCAACAAGTTGTGAAAGTAAGTTAGCTAGCTTTGAAAGGGGTGCTAAATTACAATATACATTGCACAAGGTGAACCTTGGCAGATTCTATGCCTAAAATTACCTTTAGATTTAGCATTTAATCATTTTGTATGTATTAGTATGTAAGGGGGCCACACTTGCTTTGGCAATATTATATGTTAAACAACCTTGCCAATAAAATACTTTGAAGTAGGCCTATACTCTTTTGAAATGTTAAAATTTAAAATATGTTTCTACATTTTTAACTCCCTGGACAGACTAAAAATGACAAAAAATGAATAGAAATAATGATTCTGTCTAAAGAAATACTAAGGAAAATATGTAAATGCCAGATTTTTTGGGGGGAGAAAGGACGCAATTTCCATTTTTGTGGAGTGTAATGTGAAAAAAATGGTTAAAGTTAACTAGTAGTGTAGCGAATCACTGCTGTCAGGGAGTAGCCTAATAAGTAAAGTAGCCTAATAATAATACTTTTGAGGAGTAATGAGTAACGAGTAGGCTAAATATATTCGACTCCCCTGAAAGGCATTATGCACAATGCTTTGTTAAACAACCTTGTTCTTTAAAATAGATTTTCCTAAAATTAAATTATTTTGTCTATAATTTCGTGTCAATATAAATAGTTAGAATTCCCTCGTCAGATTTAGTCATCTGGCGTTGCTATTACAGGTTGTCAACACTAGGCTAATGGCCACACCTTTCTGTGATTCTTCATGTGGCCCGCTCATCGGCTTTAAATCATCCGCCTTACACACACACACACACACACACACACACACAAGGGGGTCAGTGT